AAAACTCAACTTCGCATTTCACCTCTTGCTCTCTCCTGAAGTTGAGTTTTTATTCTGACACATTTATATAATATGTGACATATTAAGCATGAGAGCGTACATCCGAGCGTAGACGCTCAACATCTGGTCTCAAAATAAGTTTCTATCGGAATATTTTCAATTACTGCTTTGATTCCAAATCTCATTATATTGTAGATGATCAAATGGCGATTAAGCAGGTCGAATTGATGGCAGTCCTGGCGGAATCTCTTAAAGAGGCTTTGAAGACCAAGTGCTCAGTGAGTTATTAACTGATTATTTTACAAAAAGAGAAAATCGATTTAATAATCTTATTGAAAATCTTTAATTGACTTCACAAATGAAAATCCTCCTTGCGATTGTTTTGATTGAATTTTCAGGCAGCTTAAAATCTATTTGTTATATTTCAAACTTTGAAGATATTTGTGTGATATCAAGCCAGATCATTTGGTATGTGCTTGTTGATTTCATCTGATAAAAGACGATCGAAAAATGTTCGGTGAAATCAACAAGAAAGCTATCAAATTATCAACTTCACTTGAATCGTTCAATCAAAACAGTCAAATTCGACATCAAAATGAAATTCAATGAATATGCTCCGTTTCTTCCGTTTTCATTTCAATTAAAATAATGCTTTCTCTTTTTAGAAATCAGCAAGTGGAGCACCAGCAGGACCACCAGCCCCAACAGCCCCAACAGACCCAACAGCCCCAGCAGACCCAACAGCCCCAGTAGACCCAACAGCAGCACTACCAGCAGTCGAGCCGGAATTGGAAGATTAGGTTAAAAAGCAAAGAAGATCAATGGCCTTGCTAAAAGCAAGAACACCGAGAATGATGACAGCAGCTTTTTCAAATTTGGTCAATTCCTTCACATCCTTTTTTTTTTGATTAAAAATAATAAATAAGATTATCTGGCTGCAATCAGAGCAGGTTTTTTTTCATGAATCCTTCTGATTCATTTTTTTCCCGCATCTGTTCAGCCAGTTTTTGAATGTGTTTAATAAATAATTGAATAAACAAAAGTTCCGCATGATAAACAATCAAGAGCAAAATCAATTTTAAGAGGGCTGTTACTTATATTTCTGGCCTACGGTATTTTTAGTGTTACATGATGCAAACCATTGTCACATTCGAAGACAAGAGTGTATCGAAGTTATTTCGACTTTTGGTAATGAAGCCCCATCCTTTGCCACTGTGAAACGCTGGTGCAATGAATTCAATCGTGGCCGTGGTTCGCCCAAAGACGAGCCCCATGAAGGTCGTCCAAAATCAGTTTTTGTTCCACAAAACATCGATGCTGTCTTCTGACATGATAATGGAAGATCGTCATAAGACATACCGTGAGATTGAGGCATCTTTGGGCATTTCTGTTAAAAGAAATGCTCAACAAATACAATTGAGGTGCATCAAATGTAGTGTATAAAATCGTGAAAGGTGACGAATCATGGATATATGCATATAAACCCGAAAGTAAACAGCAGTCGAATGTATGGGTCTTCCAAAGTGAAGATAACCCAACGAAAGTTGTTCGAGCAA